AATTTTCCATTCACACAATGCATGACCAACATTGATTCTTTTGCCTGGGCAATCGGTTTATTTCCCCCTCACCAGGAAGGTTGTTTTAAATTATATCAATGATATATTACTTAATTCCTTATTGTTTCAGTGTGTGTAAATGTTGCTGATTTACTTCCTTTGCAAAGGGGTCAGGTTTCTGGGCACTGTGGCCACTTCATGGCCACTGCGCTTGTACCCTTTTAATTTTTTTTTGAAAGGTATATTAATAAATCACGAGGAGCTGCCACCACCACGAGAACAACATTAATACATTGCTCAGAAGGAAATAGCCTCACCCCTCTTCATTGTGGATGAAAGAGGTCTTGAGATTTCCTGCTTTGAATGGGAAAGAAAAGACCATTGCATTCTTTAAAACCCTGCTCACAATACTTTGCAAGTCTTTTAAAATTCACTTCCTCCTCCTGATGCTGTTCAAAAGGGAAAAGAAAAATGAAAGCCAAGAACTGAGAGGGAGAAATATGCAGAGAAATAAGGAAAAGGAGAGAGGTGAGTAAAGGAGGGAAGGGAAAAGGGGAGGAGGTGAGAAGTCTCGTGCTGTTTCATTGATCTATTACCTGTGGTAACTAAAAGAAAAATGGTGGGGGGGGGGAGCTGATTGCTCCCAGAAACAACAGAGAAAATGAATCAATAGAAAATTAAAGAGCAGTGTACACGTTCAAATAGCAGGAATGAATTGACACAGTTAAAATCAATGTAAACACTATACATATATATGATTACAGAATATATGCAGTGGTACAACAGAAAGAGGAAATGAATTGGTATAACTGGGATTTTTTTCTCACATGTGATCAAGCCCTAAAAGCATTCTTATTTAAACAACATTCTGCGCTACACTTTGAGGAAACATTTCCCACACAGCAAATTTTGAGGACATACTTGTGTGGAACATGCCTGCTGAAATGTCTGAAATCCAAAGGGTGGCTATATTGCTACTCATCCTTCCAAAGGCAAGCAAAATCAGAGTTACATGAAACAGTACAAATTGACAGATGATACAAAAACAAGAAATTTGCTTGTGGTGTCTGCCAACGTGGAGAATTTTAAAAAAGGAAGAGAAAAGGGTCATCAATGAATACTGATTCAGATGGCTATATATCACCAATGCCATTAGAGGCAGTATACCTCTTTATATGATGTCACACAAAAAATAGAAAAGAAGACAAAAACATTGTGGCACGTTAAAGATGCACCACTATACAGTGGTACCTCGACTTACGAACATCTCCACTTGCGAACGTTTCAAGTTACGAATGGCTCTGTTTGCAAAATGATGCTTCGACTTGCGAACGCAGTCTCAGCTTAAGAACGAAAAAACCCTTTCCTGCCCTTTTTTTGACCTAAGTTCATCTTAGGTCAAAAGAAGAAAAAAAATTAAAAAATTCTCCCCCTAGTGGTAGAGTACGGATTAACCAGCTTTGCATTAGTTCCTATGGGAACTAATGCCTCTGTACTTACGAACAGCATCTCGACATACGAACAAAAAACAGCCTGAATGGGTTAAATGGTTTTCACTGCATTCCTATGGGAAACCTTGCCTCGACTTACGAAGTTTTCGATGTACGAATGCCGTTCCAATAGAGATTAAATTCATAAGTCGAGGTACCACTGTATTTTAATGTGAGTTTCTGTTGACAACTCCACTTCTTCTCTTAACTCCTTATATCTGTTTCTGAAGAAACTGATATAAACTGCATTTAGAATCACAAAACATAAGTACGGTTTCATCATTGGACAGCAATATGCTTTTTGCACAAACCTTGTCCTGTGACATTCTCCTGGCTTCTCGCAGCTCAGAACGCAATTGGGACACAGTGCTTTCCAGCTGACTAATCTGGCGCGTATACAAGGAACTCTGATTTTTTGCTTGCTCTCTAAGGAATAACATTTTTAAAAAGATAAAAGAGAGAAAATAAAAAAGACAGAAACCAAAAATTAAACATTAACACATTCAAGGATGCATAGCTCAGTCACTGAGCCATATATCAAGCAGATCTCGGATAGTGGTTTTAAAAACACACATCCTTTAGGAGAGTTTGGAAAAGTTACTTTTTCTGACACAACATCCAGGATCCCACAGACACCAACCATGCAGACTAAGAGACTCATACAATCAGAATATCAAGCAAAAAATAGGTTTTCATCTTCCGTCAGATATGGCTATCACTCCTACAAGGTGCTGGGATGAGCATTAGCTTGGATGGCACTAAGAAAAGGGGTTGGACAAATTCAGGGAGAAAGGACTGATCATTGGCTACCGGCAGTCAATGTTACTGTAAATGGAAACTCCGTGTTCCCACCCGCATCCCCTGGACTGCCAGCTGCTGATGCAGGCCAAACCAGGGAGGCTCATGTCTTGCTTATAGAGTTGCCCCAAGAAGTAATTTAGCTTCTTTTGGGAAGATTGTATTTAATGAGATAAACGAAGAGTCAAATCATGTGTTAAGAGAAACACACATTCTCTACTTGTCACAATGTCTTGCCTCTGGTCACATATTTCCTCAAAAGCTCGGTGCCTGAAAAATTAGGTTGGGAAATGAACCTTATGTTCTGCTTCCAATCATCAATCACAGAACAAAAGCAAGCTTTTTGCAAAATGCAGAGTAGAGCAAGCTCACGCTTGGGTGGTAAGACACCTTTTGTCATTTCCGCAAGCTCAGTTTCTAATGACGAGCTGGTGTATCTCTTGAAGACTGAAGATGGATTTTTAAAAAATCCATGGATTATTTCTAGCTTTTCACTGAACCCAAGGTGCTGAATTAGGGTAAGCCAGACGTGGAATAAATAAAATAAATTTATTCTTATGGCAATAAAGCATCTACCAGTCAAACAGCCCCAAACGCTTGGCCCTTAAACTTTTGGCTCGTACTGCTGAATTGCTTCCACTTGCCTTCTCCTGCAAGAAAAAGGAGATAGGAACTCTACCAAGGCGAAAATGTTTGTCTGTTATATTGACAAACCTTCGCTCTTGGCTGGCCTCTCCTGATACAAGACTTCGAAGCCAGAGTCTCAAGCTGGTTTATGGATCTAGGCTTGTTAGGGGGCATCAACGGAGAGGTCAGCTGCAATGTTAGACTTTCCCATCCCGGTTTCTGGTGGCTTTAGCAGCTTCCACTGGAAGGGAGAGGCAAGGAGGAGTGATGCAGCCGTGTGCTTGCTACGGATGAGCTAGAATTCCCAGCATTTCTAGCTTACTGTTTTGCACAAAGGCAACCAATGGCATACCACAGAGCAGAACGAACCGTACAAATTCCTAAGGGCAAGCCTCATCCATTTTGGAGCAAGTGCCACATTTTGAGATGTCAGTCCCACAAAGCGCTTTGCAAAAATCTGCCTAGAACAGTTTTAGACATGGCTTACTCTGTACGCGTCACTAGATTATCTTCTTTTCCTTTGTTTACTCTTGGAAAGCGGGGGGGGAGTTGTGCCCACTTGCCTTTTCCCATCCTCAGTTTCATATTTAAAAAGCTTAACGTTTCCCATGATAAATTTAGAAAGAAGCAAAAGCCCTTGATAACCTACTGAATCACAACATGCCTGTTTAGCACAGGACATTCCTTTTGGGAAATGATTGCAATGTTCTTCTCAAACAGCACAACATAAAAACGTACTGAATGATTTCCATCTGGCTTTGAACACTTCTCGCATGGCTGTGGGAAGCACTGACGTTTTCACTCAGCGCTTCCAATTCCCGTTCATGTTCGCCGATCAACCTCTCAAGGCTATGATTCAAAACAAAAACAATAGAGAGACAACAGTAAATAAGTTTACAATTGTGCTTGTCAGTGCTCTCCTTTTTCCCTAAGTAGGAACACCCAAACCAACACAAACCATTTTAGAGTCTTTAAGAACAAACATTTTATATTCTAAGTCAAACGATACGTATTTATGTGTTATAAATAAAGTAAATCAAAATAAGCAAATAGAGAACAATGTACCTCTCTTGATGCTGTTGAAGCAAAGTTTCAGTTTTGGACTGTGATTCTTTTTCCACTATTTCCAATTGTTCTTCCAGCTGTATTAATAAATTGTCACAATTTACAGCCAAATTAAAAAATCATTCTGACATGAAAGTACCATTTAGAAGTGTTTTCTTCATGTGGAACATGGGGGTTAACACTATAGTCAGGGATAGCTGCATTTGTTTATTTATATTGTTACAACTACACCAACAAAAATATCCCGCTTCTGTTTCAGGAGATTAAAAAAAATAATTTTCTCCATGTTACTTTTTTTCAGTGCTTAGAAAAGTTACCTTTTCTGGACTATAACATCCAGAATTTCTAGCCAGCATGGCCATTTTGGCTGGGCGATTCTTATTCACAGGCCAATTGTTGTTTTTAAATCTGTTTTTGTGTGTAATATATTGTAAGTCACCCTGAGTAGACTCCTGTCTAGAAGGGTGGGATAAAAATCCAATAATATATAAATAAATAAATTGCTTGCATTGGGAACAGGATGCCATGCATTGGCACCAGACTGGAGTAGATGATCTTTGGGGCCATTCCAAATCTCTGGGTTGGATCCAGAACTTGACTTCTGCTGGGAGAATCTTACCACTCCAACCCAACTTTATCAGAATCAAAAGTCACCCCAGTTTTGACATATGGATCTGATGCTGTCAAATCTGGGTCTGATCCTAAGCATATTTAGAAGTACAATCCAATAGTGGGTAATGGGCACACCAGCCTCTGTGATTTCAAGAGACCAAGTAAGTCTAATTCTGCCCAATGGCAGTAGCCAAGAGCTTTAACACTGTAGTTCTGTACAGTATTTAGATTCGAAACTGTCCACTGAGATCCTATGCCATGAAAGAGGGTAAGATAGCTGTGTATAACTAACTGTAGACTGGTTTTGTGCTCCCACCATGAGAGCCTGAAAAAGTTACTTTCCTGGAGCACAACAGTCAGAATTCACGTCTTTTATTATAGCTGCTGTGAGCATTATTGGAACTGTTGCCCCCCAAAAAGCAACTTTCTCCAGCTCTGCCCACCATCTGATTGGAATCATCCTTAGAGATGGGCACAAACCACCAGTTCGGCCGAACAGGTTTTTGGCACTTCCCAGCCCCAGCTTCTCTTTGGGGGGGGGGACACTCAGAGGCAGTGCCCAGAGGAGGCCGGGCAGGGAAGTCAAGGTACTGCCTCTGAGTGGGCGCCTGCTGGAGGAGGTGAGGCTGGGAAGCACAAACGCCGGTTTGACCGAAAAACCAAACTGGCACAAACCACTGAACCGAGCAGTCTGTCTCCATCTCTAAACAGCCCATGTCTGATTTTGCTTGAGCCACTGGTTTGTTCCCACATCTGAGTACGGAATATGTTATTGCAAACACTGTCCTAAACATTAGCGGATTAGCAGGCCACTTACTAGGGCAACCCTCCCTCTGAGGTGTGACACTACTGCCTCTAACTCTTGTAGGAGTTTGCTCAAAGCAGTGGGCAGACTGTAGACGTGGAGACTGGAGACACTCTCCGGTTCATAGATCTTCTTGCCTGAATTTTTCTCATAGATCGTGAGAACATTCTGGAGTTCCTGAAGCACATTATCATGGCCTTGTAGCATCATTTTCAGATGTTCTATTTGATTATTGGCTTCCTTTAGCATTTCCTCCTGGATCTGATTGGCAGTTTGCAGGTCACTGAGTGAAGTTTTCATTTTGCAGTTGAAGTCCTCTTGGGTCTGGGATTCTCTTCGCCTGAACAAAAGAAGAAGAAGAAGAAGAAGAAGAAGAAGAAGAAGAAGCAGCAGCAGCAGCAGCAGCAGCAGCAGCAGCAGCATTCATGACCAGAAGCAAATGGGCAGCAACACTCTGGTTTGGCTGCATGGCACTGATGCAGCGTTGTCCGACTGCACAGCTTAGAAGGAATGTTGGTCACAACACAATGCATTGGAAACTCATTTAAACTTGAATATTGAGTAGGTTAACCAGATGAAAAAGATGACAGGGTTGTTATACTTGCAATTATTGTTTAAAAGAGGAAATTTCATCAGGTGCATTTTAACAGAAGTTGTACCTGCTGAAATAGTACTCCTTAATACTCATTAAAATGCCAGCCTGAGCACTCCCATCTCTTTCTATAAGCCCTTCATTAATTTAAGAACAATCCATATTATTTCCCTAGATGTTACAGAATAGTGCCTCCTTCCCTAGGATCCCCCCTTGCAGACTGATGGTTTTAGGATAAAACCAGCCAATTTAACCATGAGCAGTACTGGAGCATATGTCTATGTTGGAAACGCCTTCTGTGCTTCCTAATACAAGTTAAAACACAATACATAGAAGCTGCAGTAAGAACAAAAAAAAATCACAGCAATGTCTGTTTTATGTGGTGAGAATGTTTACCTGAGATCCATAATCGAGTCTTTCTCCTTTATCGCGTCTCGAAGGCTTGTCTGCAACTCAATTATTGTCTGTCTTAAAGTGAAGGTCTGTTGCTCGTGTTGTTCTGTAGACTATGAGAAGAAAAAGGGAGGTCATGAGACAGTTCTGAAGTGGCCTGAATATGGTTTAGTAAAACGAGGACATTGCTTTAAGAGAAATCTTCAGTGTGAAATCAATGTGGAGAATGCATTTCCTTTTTAAAAATAACAATTCTCTGTAGTTAAATGGCAATCAGTGTACCAGGAGTTGTATGTGAAACTCACTTCACTCAGCCTCTTCTGCAGATTTCTGACTTGCTGGGAATATTCTTTCAGGATGGTCTCAGTAGGTTCGTTCCCTGAGTATTTAGGAGGTTTCTTCTGACTCTCGACATCCAGTTCATGATTACTATACATTTTTGGAGGGCTACCGGCAACAGCATCAGCAGAACAAACGGAACTCTCCATCGCTGCACTGCGCGTACTGGGAGGCGGTGGGTTTCGGCTGCTCGTGAATGAGGCAGAAAGGCCTAAAAGAAGGCACATAATCCCATGATAAGTGAAATAAGCACAAAAAATGGTAGGAACAGCAATAATGTAAATGGTGAACATTCACTGACCACTTACTCTGACCTATCAATTCAATTCCGTGAGAACTGAGATCAACATGAGGACAAAATCACCACTATAGATTAATACTGTGGTGAATGACCACTACGCAGTGCATATTTGCGTAACAGTGATCACTCATGGTATACTTCTCACCTGGAAAATTTCAGTGAATCTTTTGCATAGAATTGTATAGTTTCAAAGAATTTCCTTGTGGCTTAGTCTGCTTCTCCTGCTGACCTCAAAACATCTATACACACCACTCGCCAAGGTAAACAGCCTAGGGAATGTTGAACAACTCCATCACTGTGTGTTTGGACAGTCTGCTTTTGCAAACGGTCCTCACTTCTGTTTCAACAGATATTGACCTTTCAGTTAGCACTTGAATGCATTAACAAGTTAGACTGACATGTATTTAACGGCATCTTGCGTTCCCAAAGCACAATCAGTGGTAAACTTAGGTACATATTATCCCTGATAATCAAACTACAGTATAGTTATAGCGGATGCATGATGATCACAGGCAAGAGATGCTCATAGGATGGTCCTTATTTTCTCCCATCATGTGTTGTTACTATTGTCAAATTGTACATCTAGAAGTTCCTGCCATCACCACCAGAGGCAGCAAAGAAAGCAGAGCAAAGACATGAATCTCAGTTATATGACATGTTATAAGTAAGTGAAAATACATACTATATAAGGACAGAGGAAAACTGCATGGAGGCACCATTGACAATGGCCACATATGCTATAGCATTTACTGTAGTCACTGATTCTGTTTTCCCAGTACTTCACATGAAAGCTGGAAATGCCTGGTCCAATTCTGCTAACATTTAAAATTGATATAATAACTCTACCACAATAAAAGGACTGAAATTGAAGCTGGAAATGCCTGGTCCAATTCTGCTAAAATTTAAAATTAATATAAATAATTCAACCACAATAAAAGGACATGCATGCACATGCGAACACACACAGATACACATACAATGTTCAAAACTTTACATATTTAAGTATCTATGTAGATAGTTGTTGCGGTTTTTTCGGGCTCTTTGGCCATGTTCTGGAGGTTGTTCTTCCTAATGTTTTGCCAGTCTCTGTGGCTGACATCTTCAGAGGACAGGAGTAGCACTCTGTGCTCTGGTGCAGTTTGTTCGGGAGCTGAGTATTTATGGCTGTGAGATCAGCTTTTGTCCTTTTCAGGAGATGGGTGATTATGGTGACCAGTGTGTTTTTGTTGCAGGTGTATTATTGTGATAAGGAGGAGAGATTATCTGTCACTGTGATTGATGGGTGTCGTTAGCTGGTCTTTTGTGTGTGTAGAATTTGGGCTATGGATTAAAAATGCAATTTATTCTTAAAATATTCATACATCAACAAGTGCTGACCCGGCTGAAGAATCATAAAATAATCTCACCAGGTTTCCCATAATTTCTAACTTCCAATATGCTAATAAAATCATACACTTTGAAAATTATCATGTGGAAATTTGTGGAAAGATCAGTCCCAATGCATTCTTGAATGTGTTTACACGGTACAGGTTGTACATACTTGGGTTGGCCATGGTGGACGGAGAAGAAGCCCCTTCCCGACGTGACATGGAGTCTGCCGAGAACTTTGTTGCTTCTTCCTGGAGTTTCATGGTTTCTTGAGCTTGTCTTTGCAACGCTTCTCTGTGCAATCAAACGAACGGACATGAATTGCTGACTATACCACACTCATTACTCAGTCCTACAATGAAGGCTATTATTTTCATTCAAAACAATTTCCAACATGTATAGTGAATTGTACACTTTATGCCCCAACACACATGCACTGCGTGCCAGAGGTTTCTGATAGTAATCAAAATATTACTGTTGACTGATAATGCTGCTATAGCTATCTGTAAAAGGATTAACATTCTTTTGGTCAAGATGTTATCTGTACATTATTACTGAAAAGTGTATAATAGCTTAAAGGAGATATGTATTACCTTAGTTCCTGAATACTCTTACTCATTTTTTTCAAAGCTGAAAAAAAATATCACCAGGTAATTACTCTTCTTTCTGAGTGACAAATCAGGAGAAATCTGAATGAGGTAAGATACAAATAAGACCTGAGAGAATTAGAAGTATGCACGCATGAGGCATTTTAATGAACTGGTTAACCACTATAATAACGACTTTGGTCAGAACACTATACTATAGGAAGAAACCAGGGTGCATGCAGTTAAGCAGCAGATACTGTGTCAAAGGTGGGGGGCGAGGGGGGGAATGCATCTGCAATTAATTTTTCTGCATGCAGTCTCTCCCAACAGGATTCTGGCCTATGCAGTTTTGCTCTTTTAATAATTTGAAATAAATGAATCATTTTAACAAACAAAAGTCTGAAGCACTAATATGAAGTTTTAACAGGAAATTCCTCAATTTAATTTTAACACTGAAAGACATCTTAACTCTTAAACATCTTGCTTTAAATGTCACTCTCAAGTTGATTTAGAATTCTTAAAAGGAAGCTACATTAGTCTGCAGCAGCATAAATGGTCTGTGGCACCTTAACAAATAATAAATCTCTTACTACACAAGTAGTCTTCTTACCACCTTTCACAATCCCACCAAATTACTACCTCTGTAGAATTGTTTAAATTAATTGTCCAACTAACTATTCCATCCTTCATGTTCTTACCTTCTGCACTTAATGCAAATAGTCTGGCCATATTCGGGCTTTTATTCTAATACAAGCCCTTATCAAACCACAATAAAAAATACAGCTTACTGTGTAAAATATTCATACCTCAAAAAGCACTGATCCAGCAGAAGAACCATAAAAGGACTTCATGAAAAACCTAAAGTTATACGTTAACAATCAAATATCTCACATGTAAAACAATAGTGTGAACTATTTAAATACGTTTGCTTTAAAAAAAACTTTCGCAAAGCAAAACAGAAGAATCCACATTGTAATGTTGTTTTAAATTTCAAAACACAACCCTAATGCTTGAGTCCACTCAATTCTTCACTTATGTGAACATGATACGACATGAGAAGATGCAGGTTGAATCTGGGGGCATCAGCCTATTTCACTATCTCTGCTCCATTTAGCGCACCAAGTTCAATATGTTGAACGACAAGCAGCAAATTGCAACTGCCTGCCTCTTTCCATCTCAAAAGCCAGGCAGTGACCACATAGTGGGAACAGGAAAAGGACCTGAGGTATATGATTCTATTTCTCAGGGAGACAAGGAGCTCACAGGGATTTTCGTCCACTAGAGTTCACACGCTCTTAAAGTCAAATATCTCAGGATATTTTACTCTGCTCTTTGCTCCATGACTGGATGTCATCAAGCTGGCACCAAAGAAAACTAAGAAGATGGAGAGACCGAGTGTATGGAGAGTGTGGGAGGTAGATAGGTGCCATACCCCTCCCCAAGCGAGGGGTGAGGAGATTTCCAAGGTCATCTTCCAAAACGCCAGTGTGGCATAGTGGTTAGAGTGGAACTTGGGACAGCCGGTTCCAAATTCTCATTGAGCCATGAAACTTTCCAGATGATAACTACGGACCAGTCTCTCTCTCTCTCTCTCTTTCTGACTGATCTGCCCACGAGATTGTTATGAGGATAAAGTGGGGAATACGTCAGCCATGTACACTACTTTGAGCTCATATGGGAGGGAAATAAAATAAGTGTTGACAAAACTCTTCATTAACAAGACAAAAAGACCTTGAGATTTTAAATGTCTGCATTTCTAAACAAGTAACTGAGTTATTTTCTTTCAGAATGCACAAAACGACAATACAAAATTAAAACACCTTCTTTGGCAAAACTGTTCGACCACAGAACAACCAAGAACAGGACTCGTTGCTTTAATAAATTGAACACAAAAGGTTAACCACTGTGTATCTATCAAAAGATGACTTGTATACCACCCCATAGTGCTTCAAGCACTTTCTGGGCAGTTTACAAGTTAATTATGCAGGCTACACATTGCCCCCCCCCAGCGAGCTGGGTACTCATTTTACTGACCTCAGAAGGATAGAAGGCTGAGTCAGCCTTGAGCTGGCTACCTGGGATTGAACCCCAGGTCGTGAGCACAATTTTAGCTGCAGTACAGCGGTTTAACCACTGCGCCACGAGGCTCACCTTGAAAGTTCATTACTTTCATAACACCTTGAAAGTTGATTACCTCTGTTAATAATGCGACTGCCAGTTTGAAATTTCATCACTTGCATTAATAATACTACTGTCACCTTTGGTATTCCACTTCATTCAGTCTGTGGCCTAAATATTTTATTCCATGTGTTTCAATAAGTGGGCTGTTACCCACAACAATTCACACTGCCATAAATCTTTTAATCTTAAAAGTGCCACAAGATTAATCACAGTCTTACCACTCTTCCATCTGTAGGATTCTGTACCATTTCAAAGAGGTTTCCTTCATTCCATCCACAATGGTGTATGTTGTGGCCTCTTTCTTCCCATTTTTTAGCATCGAGTTGCCCACCTTCGAGAATACATTAGATCTAGAAACTCTTAAACACCAGCAACTGGAGGTGAAACATTTTTTGGTATCAGCCAAAGGCTTAATCAATCCCCTTAGAGGAATCAAATCTTGGACATGGCCTAGACGAGCCAACAACTGAGACAACATTTATTTATTTAATTCATTTAAAATATTTTAATCTCACTTTTCTACCTAAAAAGACCCAATTTCAAGAGCTGTAGTTTTAGAAGAGGTAGCCATGTTAGTCTGTGCTAGCATTTCAGACAGAAACAAAACAAAAATGAAAATATATTTTAATCTCACTTTTCTACCTAAAAACACCCAATTTCAAGAGTTGCAGTTTTAGAAGAGGTAGCCAAGTTAGTCTGCACTAGAATTGCAGACAGAAACAAAACAAAAATGAAAATATAAAGAAGACAGAAACGTTGTGGCACCTCAAAGACTAACTGCTATGTTTTAAAATGAGCTTTTGTGGACAAGTCCACTTCCTCAGATGGCTATGTTTTAATGTGAGCTTTTGTGGACAACTCCACTTATGTAAGTCTTTTTTTTTCTTTTTGCTTGACAAAATTTCAAGAGCGGAGAGAGGACGGGAAGATATTTTTGAGTAACAAGGCATGTAGCCATATTCAAGGGTGGCAGTACAGGAACATGTTGCCTCCAGGATCCCTTCCTGCTTTTCCTTCCAGTTCTAGGTATAAAAACAACACATAGGAAAAGACAAAGTGGAGAAAGCCAGGGGTTGCAGATGCTGGATAGATAAGGGCACTGAAATAAGTCCTACCTAGAGATGGGCACGAACTGCCAATTCGGTGCTCGTTTGTTTATCAGCCAACCAAGTGTTTGGCGCTTCCCAGCTCCACCTCCTCCAGTGGGCAGCCACTCGGAGGCAGCGCCCCAACAGGCACTGCCTCTGATTGGGCGCCTACCAGAGGAGGTGGGGCTGGGAAGCACTGAACACCTGTTCAGCCCCTAATGAACTGGAACAAACTGCAGTTCGTGCCCATTCCTAGTCCTAACCTCTCCCCGTGTCATATCTTTCCTGTTACTATGAAAACGCATGGCTGAGTTCTACCAGAGGAGGTGGGCCAATCTTGGGCCTCCAGATGTTCTTGGACTACAACTCCCAGAAGCCTTCACCACCACCACCACCTCTGCTGGCCAAGTTTTCTGGGAGTTGAAGTCCAAGAACATCCGGAGGCCCAAGATTGGGGACCACTGCCCTAGAGAATCTCACCTATGATCAGCCGGAGAGCTCTGTCAGGCCCAAAGGAGCCAGAAAGGATGTGGCCCGGACAGAAATCTTAAACACTGACATTGTTCTATGTGTGTGGCAGTTCTTTTACTACCTGTTATGTCCTTGCAGGGCAACGCGGCTGTAAAATAAGAGTTACCTCCCTCTTAAAAAGTGGTTGGCAACCTTTTTCAAGTCATGACCCCCTTTTTCTACAATAGCCCTGTAATCTGCAGGGGGCCCCCATATTTGCATAAAAAGCCACTTTTAATGGGGGAAAGTCATCCCTTCTCAGAAAGGAGAGGCTTCTTTCTTCCCCCAAAGGGCCTGTTTCTCATAAATACACACTAATTTTAATATCCTGCCCTGAAAAGTTGAGGAAGAAATTATTTAACAAGAGCTACAATACATATAAAATCATCTGTGACCCCCTCCCAAGAAAACATTTGGTGACCCCCCCTTGGGGGTCATGACCTCCAGGTTGGGAAGAAACAGAAACCTTAAAATGGAGGGATGAGGGAAAATGTTGGGGGCGGGTCTAACTTCTAGGCCTACTCCTCATAGGCCTAAGGCCTGTCCCACCTGATACGGATTTTTCCTCTTCCCACTCCTGCCAAGGACTTGCCTGCCAAGGATCCAGCAATGGCAGGAAGTAGAGCTGGACCCTTGGGCAGGTGGCCTAGAAAACCACAGCAGCCTCTGCTGGTGGGAGGTGGTACTGCAAAAGCTCCCTCAGCCCAGGCCTGCTGCTGACCATATCCTTAATATGAGTTTTTTTTATAAGGACACATTGTATTTGTGACGTCCGCATCCCCACACGACAGATTATTTGACAAAGCCTTAAGGGAAAAAAAAGACTGTATGAAGGAAATGCAAAATGCATGCTACTGGATCGTCTGGCAAATTTTAAACCAATATTATTGGGAAACCATCTGGCCTTCTTGTTCAGTTTCTCTAGTTTTGCTTCACTTTCAATATCTATGTCCTTTCACTGTCTACCAGTCTGAAGCAGCAACAAAGTCTCACACAATGTATCACAGAAACTGACATAACACTTGAAACCCATCCTGTACCAACTATCCTTTTATCACTGTTTGGGAATGTAAGGACATGTGAAAATTGAGTTCATGATGGTGACTTGAAAAATTAGTTTTTCTGGACGACAACCACTGGCCATGCTGACTGGAGGATTCTGGAGCTTGTCGTAATTTTAGCAAGTTGTGGTTTGTCATTAGTGTATATCATAGATAACAAATTAAAAGGAACAGGACTTTTCACATATTGATGTTCTTTTAAAAGGAGATAAAAACAGTTCAGAAAACAGCAATTAAGTTTAAAAAACAAGAGCAATAACATTTACTTAAAACTGCCTCCTGGTATCTACAGCTTGGATTTTGATTACAAAATTCGTCTAGCAAAATGGTGGTGCTATTTACACGCCCTTCTATATACCCCTGCAGTGCAAATTATCACAGTTGTGACATTGTTCTGGGGCTGAATACAACATAAACCTCAACTGAAGAGTTTTTTACCTCATCTAGATATTTTAGAAATACTGTAGACTGCTCTCAGCCTTGCCTACAATGTTAAATTAATCCAGACTTCAAACTTGCTAATGATCGTCTTCTTTTTTTGAAGGTGAGAGGACCTCCTTCATTACTCTGACAAAACCACTGTGTGTAGTCGGGCCAGAGACAGAAAGTTCCTCTGAGCTGGCACTATTCCAAGGTCAAGCGAGAGCAGGACACGAATCAAAATTTCAAAGAGAAAAGAAATTGCCTGGTAATAATGCAAAATTCCAGCACACATTGCACCTACCTGTGAGAAACACCTGCAGGATTTCGGCCGTTGCAGTATTTTTGCAAAGTGTGAAAATGTGTGCTATGCTGATTGTGGTGGTGGGCTGGAGTGGCTTGTGAAACAAACTGGCTGCATACACCAAAGGGGGAGAAACGTTGATATCGCTTCTCGGCTAGGGGTTCTGCACCGTTCATGCTTCGCTTTTTCCTTTGCACACGGCACTGGAAACAATTGAATCTCAAAGTGGACTCGTGCGATGCAAAACCATTGAGAGAGTCGGCCGCTTGCACTAACCCTCTCTCGCCTAGGCAACAAGCCCCACCTCTGATAGGAGCTGCCTGCATGAATGGGAACCAAAAAACGGCCACTTCTGGTGTCCGGTTTCTCCGGCAGAGTGCCTTTGTTCAGCCATCTCGAACCATAATTGCTCCAGAAGGAAATTCAATACTCACTCTTCTCAAAGCTGACACACTGCAGTCCCTGTAGATGTTTCTCAGTTTCTGTGTTCAGGAGGGACTGAGGAAAGAATTACTTGTAAGACACTCTTATGTATGCAGAATCTCAGTGCACCTGGCCTACAGGACATACAACCTAAGACCCATAAAGTGTGTTTTCTTGTTTTGAAGTTAACAATAACAGTAATACATTATTCACAGGTGCATTTGGTGAGTACACAGGAAGAGGCCTTCTTTGCTGCTGCTTTCAGACTTTGGAACTCCCTCCCACTGGAGGCCAGGCTGGCCCCGTCTTTGCTGTCCTTCCCCCATCAGGCAAAAACCTTTCTCTTCAGGAAAGCTGTCCCTGTGTGGTTGGCTGCCTGAAGGGTTTTTTTAAAAAATAGTTTGTTGCACCTTACTTTTTTAATATGTTCCAGTGTTGCTGTGTTTACTTTTTCTTTAGTATGGCATTTGTTTGATCTTTTTAAGTGTTTGTAAACTCGTTGTTAGCTTTGAATGCTGTCTTTTAAGACTGTAAGCCACCTTGGGTCCTTCTTAAGGAGATATATGGAGTAAAATATTGTAAATAAACAAATATGTGCCCCCCCACGCCAATCCTGAACTATAGAGTCATACCTAGGATTTTCTAGGTATGGTGTTCTGGGAGGTGGATTACCAGTCCACCCTTTTCATGGTGCAGATTGCCCTCGCCAGGAAGGCAGGAGGGCACATAATCCCATCAGCCATATGCTCTCTGGGGGATCTTGGCTGGACCCTTTACTGGAAGGCACCATGAGGATTCATACTCCCAGCTCCAGTTTCAGCAGTCAGATGTTCCAACTGAAACTAAATTCACTATATTAAACAAAATATCAAGGTTCTGTAGCAAAGGAGGACATCCTCAAGAGGTTGTCCCTCCTTCTTGCTTCCACAGACAAAATTAGTTTAGTTTAGGCATCCTTCAGTCTCGAGAGACTATGGTAATGTGCTCTTTAAGCAGCATCTTCTAGTGTAGCTGAGAAGGCCAATTCGAGAGTGACCATCCATTCCACACTGAAGACAAGTACCCTGTCCAGCTCCCTAATATTGCTGCTTTTGTGAGTTCCTCTTTGCCTCAGCCTGCTGGACAAGGGTCTCTTCAAATTGGGAGAGGCCGTGATGCACCGCCTGCCTCCAGGCTGAACGCTGAGATGACAGGGTTTCCCATTTGTAGAGGTCCATTCCTAAGGCCTTCAGATCCCGCTTGCAGATCTCCTTGTATCACAGCTGTGGTCTCCCTCAGAGGCGATTTCCCTGCACTAATTCTCCACCCAGGAGATCTTTTGGAATCCGACTGTAAGCCATTCTCATGACATGCCCGAGCCAGCATAGACATCGCTGTTTCAGTAATGTATACATGCTAAATATTCCAGATCGTTCTAGGACTACTCTATTTGGAACTTTGTCCAGACAGAATTAATCAGCCAACCAATTAGTGCTAGGGCTCTCTGTAGGAGAGAAGGACCAACCCTGGCTGAAACCAGTTTCACTTTCTGCCTCCACTTCGTAGAGGCTTACCTCCGCCTCATCCTGAACTCGTTTCTTCTTTCTTCAACAATTCCTATTTCCACTGTACTTCTCAGCCATAAGCTGTACCTTCTATACTCTTGTCAGAGGTGGGGAGGATGTTGGCTAGCTCAAGGCTCTCAGTGGATTCTGTGTCATCACCAGATGACCAGCCTTTGATTCCAGGCACCTCTTTTAGAGCCAAGAGAGTGACAGAGAAAAATAAGATCAGGTGTCACGTTCCCCAAGGGTTTCAAGAGCAAAGTCCGATAAGCCAGTCCAATACCAGAAATTCAGAGGATGCAGAGCCGATACCAAAATGTCAAAGCCAAATCCCAAACCATAAGCTGAGGTCAGGATCCAAAACGAAATTACACAAGGTAGTCCGGGGTCAGAGTCCAAAGCCAAGGGTCCAGAGAACAAGGTTCAAGGTAGTCAGGAGCGTGGATGCAAGCCAGAGTATTGACTTGTTGCTTCCATGAGCTTCCCAGCTGTCTGGCAGCTGATTATATACCAAAACAGTCATTGAACTGCTGGAAGCCTTTCATCCTGTCAAAACTCAGGACTAGCTGACCTGATGTTTCTGCGGGCAACATTCAAGCGATCCTCTGACCTTTGCATCATAAGTCTTTGCCAAAGTCTAGCCCTCACCCTGCCTACTGGGGGAGGAGAATCTGGTGGCAATTCAGCTATCTATGCTTCTAATCGCTCAGCATTTTCCTCAGCTGTAGTTAACCCTTCAGGTTCTGGATCTTCGGCTGAACTCATGACATCAGGAGAGACATGTCCTACAGTGAGGAGTCACCTCCAAAAGGCTTTCACTCCACTGACCAGTCTGGGACACAAAGGGTCCCAGCAAAGACTAAGTAAACTTTGAGTATCTCGGGACATAAGCTTTACAGATGGTCAGGCACTTCACCCAGAATTTATTGGCTGGATAAAACTCCTTATCTCTTGTGAATTAGAGGAAGTCCTTTCAGTTGCAGAGGACACTGAAATTGCTCCACAAAACAACACCTTCCCTCCTTCCCAGTGTACCCCTCTGAAGCTGTTCCCCTCTCCTGGTGCTTCCTAGGTCCCACAGTCTCCAAGACCAGGATGGGCATGAGCAAGGGGACCTTTTTGCCTTCTCTGTCTCTCCTCCTCAGGGACAGAAGGCTTGCCAGGTGATTTCAAGAGTATGGAAAGTAAAACTAATCTCTAAAGCATAGACGGAGCACATGGCCACCAAGACAGAACCACACCTCAGGCATGAAGAGGAGGAACTGGCGACAGAGGTTCCCTGTTTCTTCCAATGCAATCTGGAGTGAAGGAGGATGAGGATTTTCTTCCTCCCTTCCTTTCCTGCCTTTTCTCTGCCAGTTTAAGGGCATAATAAGAACGGGATGGGCTAAATCTGGGGCCCAGGCAGCTCCCCTGTTCATGTTAAAAAGTTTGATTAAATTCTTCAGAAAAACTCCGGTTTATGAACGTGTGATATTGTGCTTCTGTACCCATGATTCAGAAAACCAGAAAACAGTCCAGTATTGCTGCACAATATTGTCCCTGTGTTGCCAGCAGGAAAAAAAGGATGCCAAGCTTTACATAGCAAAGGCCATCCTGAATGTTGACAACACTAATGGCTGCAGTCCAGATGGTCTACAGGATATACTCTTCTGCTCACTACCACTTACACTTGTTGATAAACAGCCCTGTGGTTGGGTGTAAAGGTAAAGGTTCACCTTGACATTCTTAGTCCAGTTGTGTCCGACTCTAGGGGGTGGTGCTCATCCCCGTTTTCAAGCCGTAGAGCCAGTGCTTGTCCGAAGACAGTTTCCGTTGTCACATGGCCAGCGTGACTAGGGAACGCCATTCTC